AATTTGAAAGCAGTAAACTTGCAGTTTCTCCCGCCAAACACAACAGCAAAGTTGCAGCCGATGGACCAGGGTATCATAAAGTGCTTCAAACAGTCTTATCGTAAATGGCTTGTCAGAAAAATGATCTTAAATATTGTAAGCATTTAGAAGATTTGTAATTAATAATCATTAATTAAATAATGCGACAATATTTTGAAAGTCCAAAACCGAAACTAACGGTAAGTCGAACTTCCGATATGTCGAAGTTTTTCATCAGTCCTATCAGATTCGAGTTATCGCGAATTCACTATATATATATTCTTGGATTTCCTCTTTTTTACTTTCTGACTACTCTCATCCCTGAATATACAGCCGAATTTAATAATCTTTATGATATAAAAATTTCATGTATTTATTTTATCTTTTAGATCTAAGAGTGCTGAAAAATCTAAGAGGAAGTCGTCTTCTCACAGAAGTTACAGTCGCAGTCGCTCCCCTGATAAAAGAGACAGGAGCAAGGAGAGAAGTCGCAGCAGATCCCCACAGAGATCTCGCTCGAAGAGTCCAGGCGATAGCATGGCTCGAAAAGGACTCAGTCGTAGCAGGTCTGCCGAACGCAGGACGAAATCTAAGAGTCGCTCTCCTAATAACGTATGTATATTAAATTTAAATCCGAAATCTAAGCATTTACTTTTTAATGCATTTACTTAATGTGTTAACTTTTAAATGTGTTGACTTTTATTTTTTATTACTTTTCGTCTTGTGGACAAAAAAAATTAGTAATCTTTAGCTGATGCGCAATCCTCAACATCAGATATGCAACACTTTCCGACTTTCTGATAATTTTTCCTGAATTTGTTATTCCGCTTTTTAAATCTAGCCAATGCCATTCGAGCACAAAAAAGTAGTCTCAGCAAATCGTTTAACAAATTCATTGGCTTTGACTTGAAGTATTTGTCCAGATACTGGAAGATTCTTAGAATGCTGAACCAATTCAATAGTGCTAATCAATAATACACAAGAAAAAATGCTAATTACCACATTTCATGCTATTGGTGGTTTAAAAAATAGGTATATGTATTTAGTTTGATATAGAAGTTTCAAAATTATTACGAATATGTATATTATAAATGAAGAAAATAAATCAGTCGAGGACAGGAAAAAGTTCATAATATCCAACTTCCTCTTCACTTTTTTTCTTTTATTTTGGTTCACTGTATCTACGATGAATAACATATGTGGGTAGCAAGGGCATGGGAGCGAACATTATGTTCACTATAAATCGTGTTCACCATTGCTGGGTTTGATTGTATAATAAAAGCTTCCTCTTATGGATATAATTTGTGAAACACAGAGCAGTACATTGTAGGGGAATTTGTATCAGTGTATCTGATATTTTTCAGTGAATAAATACATCATAATACTTTCAATTGTTATTTTTCCTATAGTTTTAAACAGCATTGTTACTAAAAGTTGTTTTTAAAAATACATACTGTAAGACTAATACTTCATTATTAGTAAAACTGATTACTTTTGAACAATTGCAGGCTATGGTTATTCAAATGCAAAACAATTGCAGCCAATGTCAGGTCAAAGTTTTTTCTAAGTAACTCTCTGAGTTAGTCGAACTCCTACACACTTTTTATACAGTCCCAACTGGGAAATCGAACCAAAGAATTTCAGATAATGTTTTTAAAAAATGTTATATCAGTCGCATCACTCAGATATTTTTTAAGGTTAGAGAATTACTTAAATTTAAGTAATGTGTGAATTTATTTTTATTAATTTTTATTGTTTGGTTTATGTTATGGTCACCAAAAGTCTTGTTTTTTGAAAGTCCAAAGTTGACACATCTGTAATTTTACTACTATAATTTTCTCAAACTTTTTTTAGATTATCTGCATTAGTTAAATTTTTTTAGTTCTTATATGTCTCTTATTTTAAGAAGTAGTCTTTATTTCCCATCTTTTTTTAAAGGTACCTATTGCATTTCCAAATGATACTTGCTCATAAAAGCTTTATTTAAAATGTAAAAATCAAATCATAAAATGATGAATTAAAAAAATTTTTAGAATGACATATCTAAATAATGCAAGTTTTTTTTGCTGCATTTAAAATATTGAAAGCCCTTCACTTCATACTTTTTCAAAATCTTGCCTCTAAATATCAAGTGTTTTATTTTTTTTAAAAAAATAAATAAGTAAATAAAAATTGAAAATATTAAATATGAACAATAAAATAAAATATTAAATAAATTATTAAATATTAAAATAATTAAGTATAATAAAAAAATTTTTTAAAAAATTATGCAATTAATGGTCGACATTTTAAATCGGTATAAAGGTTACAGAAATTAATCAGTTAAGCATCTTAGCCTCTACTTTGCAAAATTTTGAAAAATTAGGATCTTATTAGAAGAGAAAAATTATGCAAATGAACTAGAGCTGGTAAAGATAAAAAGTTGAAAGAGAGATTTAACTTTGCTCCGAGAACATAAAGCGTCATTCAAGGGACCACTTATGGAATAAAAAATATAAACTTTTATCTGTTCGAATGGGGAGAAAAAAAAGAAAACAGAAGATTTTGTTGCAACAAATAAAAAATTTAAATAATTTTTTTCCTTATTTTTGAGAAGTTTTCTAAAGATCTGTGGAATTTTCGAAATTTGTTCTACAATTATATCCTTTTTCCAGTTCTCCGGCCCCATTCCGCACATCTGTTTTAAAAGTGTGGCATTTGAATGAATAATTTAAGTTTTTCTTCGAACTCTCCCCCTTCCTTTTTGAAGATTAGCATACCGAGAAAAAAGTTTCTATATGCTGCGTTATTTGTAGTAACTTTATTGTTTTCCAATTGATGTTTAATAATGCTCCATGTATTAATTTTAGGAAAATGCTGATGTTGCAAACGGTATGCGGAAAGGTCGCAGCAGTGCTAGTTCCCATGGCAGCAGGAGTCGTTCTCGCAGTGTGGATAAAGAAGCGTCTGGCCGCGATAAGTGGAGCAGATCACCTTGATGTGTTTTTATAATTGGACATCCCTTCCTTTTTTTCACTCATTCATTGCTTATTTTTTATCTCTTGTCAAAATTCTTTCAATAAAAGTCATTTTTGTTTGTTTTATTGCTGTTATAGTTATTTATTAACATACCATGCATTTATGCATGTTTATATTTACAGTGCACAAAATAAGTAAATAAAATAGAAAACCTCAAATAACTTTATATCTACTGATCGGATTTTCACATGCCTAGAATTTTTTTTTTAATGGTTTAAAGCAGTGACCTTTAAATATGTAAATTAGCACATATGTTAATGAGGATTCTGAAACCACACCGAAATATGTACTTTTTCTTATTCAATATACAATTTTTTCAGGGATGATTGTGCTCCGAAAAAATTCTGGATTTTTCGCGAGCCGTGTTTCGGAAGTTTCCAGAAATTTCAAGAAGTCGTCACATTTATGTATACAAATTCTTGCATATTTTATTTAAAAATATTATAACTAGAGTTCATGCTTGGCATCTCTTTCATTCATTCATATTTTTTTCTAGTAGAGGTATAAAAGTAATTACAGATAAAAGTAAACATATACATAATTATTCATTTAAATTATGCTGCATATAATTTATTTAGAATTTCATGTTTTGAAAATATCAATGATTTAAATTTATAGAGATATAAATTTTTTGAAAATGCATTGTTAATTATTTTACTCAAGAAATTTTCAGGATTTTTGAATTCACACACAATCACCCCTAGGAAGTTAAATTTCTGACCCGCAAAATATAAGGGGTTGTCGCAATCGGGAAAATGCGGCTGTAATAGTTTGGTCAGGACAGCGGTTGGAAGTTAATGCCTTTTTAAGTTAATTTTACTTTTTGCGAAGTTTGCAAATATTTAAAGATTTGTTGTTTTTAAGGCTCCTTTTTGCATATTAAAAGCTACTAAACAATCAATGATTGTAGTATTTTTATACTTAAATAACTTGTTGAGCAAAAACTGTATAAAAATAACATGTTTCAATAGAAGATTACTACTTGCAAATTCTTCATTCAGAATTTCGACTACTTTTCTACCAGTTAGTGTTCTTGCATGGATTGAACCACTGTTAGAGGGAAATGTTTGAGTGCTTTCCTTTTTTCCTTCGGAATTGTCAAAAATCAAAATTTTTTTTTTTGATCCACTTAAAACATTTTGTTATAACTTGTCATTATATGATACAATCAAATTATTTTCGCTTGCCTGATTTCCATTATAAGTTGTGCCCAAATTTTATAGAAATTCATATTTTTGTGCTTAATTGAATCTTTTAATTAAATAATTGAGTCAGGAAAAGGAATAGTAACATTGTATTTTTTTACATAATAATAAAATTTATAAATATACACTTAGAAAGAAATCATGAAAGAGCACTCAATAATATTCAGAGTGACATGATTTTTTGCTATTTAACATATTTACTTTTTGAATAACAATGAATACACTGTTGGAAATTTTAAAAACTGCACTTAAGATTCAAAAGATCTCCATTTTTACTTCATGGAATACATGCTTACTAAATTTTGATATTTATTTTCAATGTGAACTCAAAGTATTGTAACGCACTTTTCTAATCAATAATACTCGAGTAACTTTTAAAAAAAGTTGTTTTCAAACATAAAAATAAATAGGCATTAAATTTAGGTATTCAGGGTTTCCACAGGCGACTAAAATACAACTATGTCAACTTTTTTTGCCTGAAAAGGCCAAAAAAGCAACTATTTTCACGAAAAGGAGACTTTTCTGTACTCCTAGCTATGTTTTTTAGCATAAATTGGGATAAAAACCTGCAGCCCTGAATTTCTTTTCTTAAATAATAAAATTAAAAAATGCAAAATTTTAGACTGCAAATTTGAGATATAACTTTTTAATGCGTTCAATTTGCACAGATTCTATCGTAAGTACATTTCGTTTCTCGATCGCCTTGTCAACTGTTTTTGCATCGAAATTCTGCATGATTTTAAAAGACAATTTTTAATACGATATAACGATGCATGAATTTTGAATTTGAGTAATCACTTTTCACAATATATATATTTGCTAAATTAATAATTGATAAAAGGAAAAATTTCTTCGAATAAGTGTGTTTTTTTTTTAATGAAAAAGTATTTTTGAATTAATTCTAGTAATTAAAAGTATTTAATTTTCTGCAACTGTACTAATTTTTTTATATAAAAATTTAGGGCTAGAACACTAACGTTTATATAAAAATTATAATATTTGCCACCAACTTGACTAAATGGATCATGGTATGACAATTAAGTCATTTAATAAAATTTTAGTCTTATTTTTGTTCTTATTTAAGCAACTATTTTCACAGTTTTCGGCAACTATTTTCATGCTTTAGGCTACTAAAAGCGACTATTTTGTTCATTTTTTTTCTGTGGCAACCCTGGATATTGTATATAAACATTAAGGAACCAACTTACAATTATATAAAAATATACCAGTAAAAGCTAATATTTCCAGTAATAAAAAAAAATTTATGTTTTATTTTTTTAGCCAAGACACTAGGAACTACGACCAAGTACAACAAATTGTTACTGCACAGATTAAGCTCTTTAACAACACGTGATATATACCTATTTCTACCATAGTCGGACTTAGTTTCTTGATCGAATGTATGACTAAAAAAAACTAAATAAACTAAAAAAATTTTATTATAATTAACCAAAATTGTATATTGACAATTTTTATGTATATATTACAAATTCAAAGCATACGAATTTTTTAATTCAATTGCTCAGCTCATTTTTTTACATATACAGGGTGTTTGCATTGTACATTTTCCGTAAACATATTTCTTCTAACTTTTATTATTTCTATAATTATAAGAGTTATAATTAATATTATTTCTTCTAAGAACTTGTGCTGTCTTGATTGTTTCGACATTTTTCTATGTAAAAACTAACAGTTAGAAATGAAGTAAAGCTATCAAAATAAAATATAAGCTACTTACCAAAACATTTAGTTTTTGTCACTTTTTCTTGCACAAAAATGTCAATCTAAAATTTATGTACTTTCTTGAAATTTGAATTCAGCGTTATTCTGATCGAACTAACTACGCAACAGTCTTTGCAGAAATGTGCAACTCATCGAATGCAATACATTCAATACGTATAACATCGTCTGTTCTGATCAGATAACCTTATAAAGTAATAAATTGTTCAAATGACCGGTTGTGTCAGAAATAGGTATACGACAAGTATTATTCGAAACAAACAACATGCATTAATGATAGCATGTTAAATGTATATAATTGTTAGAAAAAGTCAGATGTTCAAAAACGATAATATGATAAGCTTTGATAACGATAAACGATAATATGATTTTCGATGCAAAAGTTCCTAAACGGTCAATTGACTGGTTATAGTATGTTTACTGTTAAATATAAAAACGTAATTTTAATTCCTTTGCAAAATTGTCTTCTAGAAATAATTTCTTAGCAAGAAAACGTACCTTTTTATTTAAAAAAAAGAAAAAGACGGATTTATTCGGCATAATAACAACATGAATGATTTGTTGAAGGTGATAAGTAGAGCTATCACAAAATAAATTATTTTTAATTTAAAAATACTAATAATGATTTTACGTGTTTGTAAACACTAACAATTGGGTGACACCAAGAAAGAAGTTATTTATATGCCGCAGAGAATTATTTTTATCTTGAAGGGAGAGGCCACTTCTCTCATTTGACATTCAAAAAAATGATTCTCGTGCAAATTCAGTCCTACAATTCCTGTAAGTATCTAAATTTCGTAATATCTAACGGGATCGTGGCATTTTTAAAGAACTGAATGTCTTGCTACTTGAACAAAAATCGGTATCTTATTAGTAATTATAGAATTTAACAAATGATTCAACTCAAAGCCAAAATTTAATGTATTTCGCAATGAAAACAGATAATTTTTAAAAATTAATTAATAAATGAGGATTTATTTAACGTTTTCAGTAAGTTTTAAAAATTGAAATACTTTATCATTTTTAATAATTCAGTCAAACCCCGCTCCAGTAAACCTTTAAGGGACCGAAATTTCGTTTCACTATATCCGTACTGCAAATAATTTTTCCGAACTGCTCCCTTTTATTACGCATTATTTAAATAAATGACCCATTAAAAAATACAAAAATGATTAAATAGCAATATGTAGTAACAAGAAATATGTTAATTTTTTTTTATAACTCTTCGTCTAAAGTATAAAAAACTTAGAGATGAGAAACTGAGGTAGAAGAAGCAAACAAGAGAAAATGCTTATGATTACATTCCACTGAATAGATTATTTTAAAAATTCGGTATATGTATTTTATGAAAAAATTTCAAAAATAACAAAAAGAAAAAAGATGAAGACAGAAAAAAGTTCAAATATGTACTGAATTATATTGAATTCGGGCTTAATTTAAATTATTGTTAATGAGCTGGTTTTTCCCAGTGGAAATTTTGGCTGGTTTTTCAAGGAAATCTGCCCTCAAAAATTTAAAAAATACAGCCAGAAAACATTTTGAATCCCTTAATTTTAATCTCATTTGGAAAAAATTATAAACGGAAAAAAAAAAATTATAAAGATGGTTGTTTAGCATAAAATATTTCTGCGCACAAAATAAATTTTTATTTTATTTTATTTTTTAACAATGATAGTAAAATTTTTGAATTGTAAGGAGTTTTAATCTCCGCCATTTTTAACGACATCGTCGAAACTTGAATGGAAAATGTCGAATAAATCTCGAAAAATGAAAATAATAAAATGTGTCGTTTATGAAGTTATATTTCTCTACAGCCAACCGAAAAAAGGCTTATGGGATTAGGGTAGGGTTCCAACCTTTTATTTTCATTAAAAATAAGGATAAATGTTAACTTTTTTTTAAGCAACTAAATTTTTTTAGCTATATCTGATTTATCTCAATTCCATTCACTGAGTCGTGGTGGATCAGGGGAGAGAGCGTTCGCCTCCCAATGGGGTAGGTGACCGGGATCGATACCCAGCGATGCCTGATCCATACGATTCTGCACCCGGTTCACACCGACCACAGTGCTGACGTAAAATATCCTCAGTGGTAGACGGGTCATGGGTTAGAAACCCGTT